TGGCTGGAAGGCATTTACGGTCGAGACACAGCATGCCGGGCCCGCAGGGTGTCCCGTCCTCCACGTAGCTCAGGTCCGAGCCGTCCACCAGCTGCACGTGGCCTCCTCTGCATCGGGACAGTGAAAGCGGGTGACACTGTGACACCCACCTTGGCACATCCCTGTCTCCATGGCGGTGGCACCCACCTGCAATCCACATAACGGTTTTGGTGGAAGAAGGTGGTGGTGGCGATCTCGCCACTGAGCTCACCCAACCGGGGTGCGCCCGAGATGTTGGCACAGAGGAGGAAGCCACAGAGGACGTCCCTGCAAGGCACCGGTGGCATCACCAGGATGGGCGAGTGGCACCCAGGAGGGGACACGGGGAGGGGGACGACGAGGTTCACTCACTGCTTGTTGCACTGCAGCCAGCCCAGGCCCTCGTGCCCACAGTTGCCCCTCTCAGTCCCCTCCACGTTGAGCTTCTCGTAGCAGAAGCGCTCGGCTGAGCCTGGGCAAAAACAGGTGTCACCCACTTGTCACCCCACATCGCCCCCCGCACCCTGGGGCTGACACTTACCACGGCCCCACAGCGCGTTGCATTGCCGGTCTCTGGTTTTGCAGCGCCCGCCGTAGCATCGTCCCTGGGGAGCAGGGAAGAGTGGTGACGGGGCTGGAGAGGAGCTTGTACACGTGTGTGCACGGGCACGAAGGTGGTGCAAGCACAATGACACGCCACCCCCCACCCTCCGCAAGTGCTTGGCCCCAGGACCCCCACTTCAGCTGCATGGGCAGGGAGCAGGTTCCCATGGCACAGGGACCGAGAATTCACGTGTGTGCACAGTCATGGGACAGTGTTCAGGGCATGGGGACACCTGCACTCATGTGCATGGAAGGTTTGCACACCTGCACATGGATGAGGGAGGCTTGCACGGTCCATCGCCACGGGCACGCGTGCACAGGGAAGAAGCACACGGAGTGCAGCTGCAGACATCGGGGAAAACTTGTGGGATACGGCGGGGGTCCCCAGCCACAAGTGCAGGGAAAGCGTGTGGCACAGGGACCACAGCCGCAGCTCGCACAGCGTGGGGGTGATGAACTGGTGCACAAGGCAGTCTCACACACCCTGGGGACCCTGGCTACTGTGGGAACCAGCTCACCCCAAAACCCACACCCATACGCGTGGCTCAACCGTGGCTGCAATTGCCGACGTGCACAAGCACCGGGATGCTGGAGCCCACGGGCACGTGCCCGAGCCCCACGGTCGTGTCCTGCCATGCTGGGCCGGACTCACCTGCTCGTTTTCGCAGAAGTAACCATCCAGCTTGTGGAGGTTGGGGGGACACTGGGGAGGACACACACGGAGAAGAGGACAGGTGATGCCACATGGCCCTGCAACATGTCCCGCCATGTGTGTCACCCCCCGACCCCGGCTCACCTGGCTGGAGTCCCCAGTGCAGCTCTCGGGGATGTCGCACTCATTCACGGCCTCCCGGCAGGACACGCCACGCGGCTCGTACTGCACCCAGGGGATGAAGCCACCACATCAGGTGCCCATGGCACAGGAATCCCAGTGGTTCACCGGATCCAGCCATGTGGGACTCTGGATCTGCCCCCCGCCCCAGCCCCACACCTTGCAGCCTTTGCAGCAGAGCCCATCGCTGCACATGGCGTCGTGGGTCAGTGTGCATTTCTTGCAGCAATTGCCCCCACTCTTCGCGCACTCCTGCTGGGACAGCA